AATTACAAGTCATACCTTTCCTTCGGTTCTCACACAACATTTGACCGTAATTTATTAGGTAAATTGATACATGTTTTTAATTGCCTAAAGGGAATTTCTAGCACGAGCGATAATTTTTCGATTCGCATGTGTCCTTACACAACAAATATCAACACAAGATTAAACATTAATTCGTATACCATTTCGGTGAATGGTTCTAATGATTGCACCTTGGCATTGGAAATGACAACGATCGTTTGTCGTGGAAGAATCCGAAAGAAAATTTTTGATTCTTCACCGATTCTAGGTCACGCGCTGCGAGTTCCCCGTCAAGAAAAAAAAAATAAAGGAAATCAAAACGATTGATTGATTGATTGATTGATCATGCAAACATTCAGCGCATGTTTTTTTTTTTTTTTTTCTTTTGAGGAAAGGGAATATTGACAAAGAATTTCTTTGGTATCATGATTGTCAAGTGTTTTTTCTTAAGATGTTTTTGTTTACCACCGATGTTTTTGTGTACATGTTTTTTTAATCGTGTGTGCAGTGTTTATATTTGAGATGCGTGTGACTAATATAAGTCCAATATGCCAAGCAGTATGAGGGTAACAATAATATTTTACCATGCGTGGATGGACAACTGTGATGATGTACGGGATGCTTGATTGTTTCCTTACGGGTACAAAAATTTAGAGTTACCCTGTGTACAAATATTAGGTAAACAAAAAGAACCTCGGTGTCGAGAAAAAGAAGCCGGTCATTAATTGAATCTGCATTAGTTATGAAAAAATCGGGGTGTTTGATAAAATTAAAGTTTTTTACTCAAAGTGGACTAATCAACAGAGAGTTGTTCTATTTTTTTTGTTGAAAAAAATTTTTTTTTTTTGGGCACGATGTGATGGACCTGCGATCATTCCAACCATACCTCTCTTATCACTTGATCAAATGACCCAGTTGAAGAACAAGGAGCTGTCGATGTGTCACGGTAACCTTGGTCTGCGGTCTCGTGTATGACTGTAGCAAGGAGATATCGGTATATAGAAGGTGTTCGTGGGTCCACTTTCACACACACGTTTAATATGGCGAAATTGAATTCCACAAACCTCTTGGAAGATACCATTTTCGTCGAATAATTAACTTTTCCAAATAGCAATGATTGCCCTGCTACTGGATTGCGATCAAGGTCGTCGTCTTACTTGATTGCAATCGATCATATGCGAATTTAAAATGTTTCAACTTGATCTCGATCCTGATAAAGTTCTG